CGGGAAGTGGTCCAGACCTCCGGGGCCCACGCACGAACAAGCCTGGAGCGGCCGGATGTCTGGGTCGGCAGGACTGGAGTTCCGGTTTAGTGAGGTGTACTGGGGGACCTCCGTTCCCGCCCCATCTCCACAAACTGGAACTGCAGTCACCCGAAAAAAAAGCACCAGCTGCGGCAGACCCGGCGATCCCGCCACACGTCCTGGGTCCGGGGCGCTGTCACTGACCGGCTCTCCTTCTCGGGGGCCCGGGCTGTACCCGAGTGGGGCCTCCCGGAACGGGGGGGGGCCTTCTGGGCGCCGCTGGCCTGCTGGGCCAGAGTGGCCGCCGGGAGGGGGTGTCGTCGTCGTCGAACGACGGCGTGAGGGCCGACCGTGTGTACAAGTCGGCTGAGGATGACGGGAAGCAAGACAGAGAGAAAGATCAACGGAGCAGAGAGCGCTAAGGGGAGGGTGTGGGGGAGGAGGGAGGGGGCGAGGTCATCATCAGCGCTGCTGCTGCTGCCGACTCACGCCGATTAGCGAAAAGAGTTCGATCTTCATCCCGTGGCAGCTGGGGATGCTTCCCTCTGAGGAGTCCCCGACAGGTGCAGGTCGCAAACTTGGAGAGGCTGAACCCCGAGGCATTGGCTCTTGAGATTCCTGACTTGGCAGGGAGGCGGGGGAAGAGGAGAGGAGGGGAGGAGGGGAGGAGGAGGCAAGCGCTTGGCTTCAACGGAAGGAACCACTCCGCAGTTTCGAGCTTCGAGCTTCGAGCTTCGAGCTTCGAGCTTCAAGCTTCGAGCTTCGAGCTTCGAGCTTCGAGCTTCGAGGGGGAGGAGGGGGATGAGCAGGAGCAGGGGGAGGCAGGGGGATGAAGGGGGGGACGAGGGAGGAAGGGGGAGTAAGGGGAAGGAAGAGGGAGTAAGGGAAAGGAGGAAGAGGAGCCAAGGCACGCACTGGAGGAGGGGAGGGGGAAGGAGATTGATGAGAGGGAGGAAGGGGGAGGAACAGCGGGAGCATTAGCAGGAGGAGGACGGTGAGGAGGATGAAGAGGGAGAGACGAAGAGGAAGAGAGTAATGATGGTAAGGATCAGGTGATCGTGTGGGAATTTGGCTGAAGGGTGAAGGGGAAGGAAGAGAAACCAGATCCCCTGGGACAGGACCCGCCCTGAGATCCTGGCGTCGTATCTGTTTCACACTGGGCGGCTTCGCCCTCTCATGCCCTGGGGCCCTCACGGATCGATCCGGCTCCAAAAATACCGCCAAAAAACGTGGTCCAGGGCTGCGGTGGTTCTACGATGTTGAACTGTTTCGCAACCTCGGATCTCATGGTCAGACTTCCTCGCGTCGTGAGACAAGAACACTCTCTGAGATGGATGATTTCTCAAACGCCATGCCTGCAAAATCGGGTGGCACCATCGCCCTTGTCGGGCACTGGCCTGATCCAATCAATGCTGCGGAGAGGATCGGCGGTGGACAAAATTCCATTTAGTAAACTACCCTATTGTGACAACGACCTAGGACCGAAACCGACGGACCTGGACCCGCAAACATGACGGCGGCGACGCCCTCTCGCGAACCGAAAACGGCCAATTCGCTAATCGACGTGCCAGGGTAGGAGGTCTATCAACCTCCGAGAGGAGAGGGCGCGAGCACGTGCTAGAAGCAGGGGCAAGCATCGAGTGAACGCCCCCCTTTGGCTGACTGCGCCTGCTGCCCCGTGGCAAACCGTGCCCCCTGAAAGCCCTCACCGGGCCTGGGGGCCGTCACAAAACTTCTCTTAGGTCGGGCGTGCCCCCCTACAGGCAGATTTTGAACGAAGATTAACAAATAGCCAGAAAATACCCTACCTATGCTAAAAACGCTCAAAAGAACGCCCCCAGACTTATTCCCTACATGTTTCGTGGGGTTCTGGTTTTCTTCCCTGCCGCGCCGCACCCGCGTCTCACACCTCCCCCCTCCCCTTCTCCTTCTCAGCACAGCACAGCACAGCACAGCACGGCACGGCACGGCACGGCACAGCACAGCTCAGCAGCACAGCACAGCACAGCACAGCACAGCACAGCACAGCATACCACACAGGGCATTCCTTCGACGCCACAGGGGCTGGGGGTGCGCAGAGGGTGGTCCCTCAGCGCGGCCTCTATCCGTGACACGCTCGCAGATCTTGGCAGGAGTGGCACTTTCTCGACACCACAGGGGGTGCGCAGAGGGTGGTCCCTCAGCGCTGCCTCTATCCGTGACACGCTCGCAGATCGTGGCAGGAGTGGCACTTTCTCGAAGCCGCAGGGGGTGCGCAGAGGGTGGTCCCTCAGCGCGGCCTCTATCCGTGACACGCTCGCAGATCGTGGCAGGAGTGGCGCTGTCTCGACACCACAGGGGGTGCGCAGAGGGTGGTCCCTCAGCGCGGCCTCTATCCGTGACACGCTCGCAGATCGTGGCAGGAGTGGCACTTTCTCGAAGCCACAGGGGGTGCGCAGAGGGTGGTCCCTCAGCGCGGCCTCTATCCGTGACACGCTCGCAGATCGTGGCAGGAGTGGCACTTTCTCGACACCACAGGGGGTGTGCAGAGGGTGGTCCCTCAGCGCGGCCTCGCCTCTATCCGTGACACGCTCGCAGATCGTGGCAGGAGTGGCATTTTCTCGACACCACAGGGGGTGCGCAGAGGGTGGTCCCTCAGCGCGGCCTCTATCCGTGACACGCTCGCAGATCGTGGCAGGAGTGGCACTTTCTCGACACCACAGGGGGTGCGCAGAGGGTGGTCCCTCAGCGCGGCCTCTATCCGTGACACGCTCGCAGATCGTGGCAGGAGTGGCACTTTCTCGACACCACAGGGGGTGCGCAGAGGGTGGTCCCTCAGCGCGGCCTCTATCCGTGACACGCTCGCAGATCGTGGCAGGAGTGGCACTTTCTCGACACCACAGGGGGTGCGCAGAGGGTGGTCCCTCAGCGCGGCCTCTATCCGTGACACGCTCGCAGATCGTGGCAGGAGTGGCGACACGCCTCCCGGACAGCGCGGCCTCTATCCGTGACACGCTCGCAGATCGTGGCAGGAGTGGCACTGTCTCGACACCACAGGGGGTGCGCAAAGGGTGGTGGTCCCTCAGCGCGGCCTGTATCCGTGACACGCTCGCAGATCGTGGCAGGAGTGGCACTTTCTCGACACCACAGGGGGTGCGCAGAGGGTGGTCCCTCAGCGCGGCCTCTATCCGTGACACGCTCGCAGATCTTGGCAGGAGTGGCACTTTCTCGACACCACAGGGGGTGCGCAGAGGGTGGTCCCTCAGCGCGGCCTCTATCCGTGACACGCTCGCAGATCGTGGCAGGAGTGGCACTTTCTCGACACCATAGGAGGTGCGCAGAGGGTGGTCCCTCAGCGCGGCCGCTTTGCACGACGGTCGTCCAGGGCATAGCAGGCGTGGCACTTTCTCGACACCATAGAGGCTGCGCAGGGGGTGGTCCCTCACCGCGGCCGCTATGCACGACGGTCGTCCAGGGCATAGCAGGCGCGGCATTTTCTCTACACCACTGGGGGTGCGCAGGGGGTGGTCCCTCACCGCGGCCGCTGGCTGGCTCGAATCTGTCATCGACGGAGGATAGAAGGCTAGGAAGAGGGAGGAGGTTCAAGCAATATGGCGTTGGATGACACATAGGGGAACATTCGCGACGAGGGCTGAGAACGCAGAATTGCACATACATTATAAACTTAAGCAAACACTCAATATTTAAGTTAAGTATGTGGGCTTCCTCGGTAGCGTAATTTGCTATTTTTGAATATTCCTCCTGTCGAGGGACAGACCAGACTTAATACTCGGGATGAAAAGACGTTCCTGGTTTTAGTGCTCCATACAGTCCATACAAGCCTCTTGGGAACCACGTGGGGAACAGATCGCAACTCCGAGTGTCTGGGAGAGAGGACGTAGAGGGAAAGGAGGAGCCAAGCCACGCACGGGAACAGGAGGAGGAGTTGGAAGGCAGGAGGCAGGAGGGGGAGGAGGAGCCAAGGCGCCCACTGGAGGAGGGGGAGGGCGAGATGGATGAGGAGGGAAGGGGGGGGGAGGGAGGGAGGGAGAGAGAGAGGGAGGGAGGGAGGGAGAGAGAGAGGGAAGGAGGGAATGAGGGAGGGAGGGAGGAGGAGAAGGCAGGTGGGAACCCTGAGTGAAAGGAGAAAGAAAAAAAAGGACGAGGGGCGCCCCAGCGCCCCAGCAGCCCCCAGCAGCCCCCGCTCGTAAGGACGAGGGGCGCCCCAGCATCCCTCATATCCCTCCATCTCTATCCTTTCCCATCCATCCACTCCCTGCCCTTCCTCTCTCTCTCCCTGTCTCCCCAGCCATCCTCCCCTCCCTGCTGTCATCCGCCCTCCCCGACTTCTACCCATATCTCTCTGGTCTCTGGTGAACGCTGACGGCGCTGACGGGGGCAATCGACTGGGGGAGGTCCAGGGTTGCGGGAAAGTCGCCCTGAAGGGGCCCTGCGGCCAAGAAGTTCTGCTCAGCGTGTCGCGCGGCGGCCATGGCGACACGCTCTACCCTGCTAGCGCATAGCGTGTCGCTCCGCTACGTGGGCCAGAAGGCGGGGAAACTTCGGGGCCCCAAGACCGTGTGGTGACGGACCGCGCGGCGACCTCGACATCCGGTACCACCTCACCGCCCAGCCCGTCACCACATGGTTTTCCACCCTGGAGGCCCCAGTCGTCCGACACCCTCGGAGAACGACCCGAGATCCTGGCGTCTCAATTTTTGTTTCGGGACCCTTCCAGATCGATACGGTTCGAAAAACTTGCGCAGAAAGATGGGGCCTGGGGCTCAGGCCTGGCATCTACGATGTTGCAGTGTTTCGCTGCGTCGGACCTCAGGGACTCACTGCACGGTGCGGTCACCAGACCGTTGGGCCCCCCGAGAAACGCTCTGGGCGTTCACGCCTGGGGGCCGGGGCGTGGCTAGCGTGCCGCGCCGAGGCGCTATGTGCCAGCACCGGCAGCACGACCACGCCGAGCAGACGCTCCCGACCGCAACTGGGGCCTTGAACTGCCACCCCGCGTCCAAGAGGCGCTCGGCCTCCTTCAGCAGGAGGAGGAGGAGGAGGAGGAGGAGGAGGGAGCTGGAGGAGGGAGGAGGAGAGAGGAGGTGCAGGAGGAGGAGGAGGAGGAGCGCACGTACCCAGGGGAGGGACGGTGCAGACTAGCGGCGGAGCGTCGCAAAGCGGCACTCAGATGATACCGTCGAAGATACTGCCGAATATGAATATGAAGGCGACCCCGTCGAGGCCGCAGGAGACGCCACCGAGGGCGACATTGGTGTAGAAGACTTTGAGGACGCCGCAGAATGCGGCGAGGAAGAACCACCAGAGGAGGGACGGAGCTCCAGCGAGCCAACCAACTGGTCGTCCAGGGTGTTGTTGAACTGGTTGATGCACCCCTCGTCCTGGAAGCTTGCGAGTAGGGTGTCGAAGCACAGGGCCGCCGTCGATGGAGAGGAGGCGCACGACGTGGTAGGAGCCGTGCGCGCCGATGAAGAGGCCTCCTCCCTTGTCTGCACGCAGTTTTTGGTTTGGTGCATGATCTGTGCGAGGTCCTCCCGCCACTCTGCATCTCGGATGTCCAGGTCCGCGAAGGTGACGAAAGCGGACTCCTTGATCAAGCCCGTCTCGTCGACGAGTTTGGTGAACTTGCTCATGTTGTGCTTCTGTTCTTCGAACATCTGCAAGAGGACGTCCTGCTTGTCACCCTGGTCCAGCTCACGCCCAGGCAGTCTGTTACGGACAACACCATCGTCTTGTGGGCGCTGTACCTGAGCGGCCTCCATAGCCTCCACGCGCTGTGTCAGCACGGCCAGCTCCTTGATGTACTCCGTGTTCTGGTTCTGCAAGCTCATGGCGACCATATCAATGATCTGTATGGAGATGTCTTCCATGGTCTTCGTGAGCGTGCCGAGCAAGTCCGTGGTGAGCTGGTCTAGCGATTCGCATTTCACGTAGTTCTTCATGTGCTTCTCAATGGCCTCGTCAAAGTTGGCGCCCTGGTACTTCCCCTGCTCCTTGACGTAGGCGAGCTGCGGCTGCTGTGTCGATGTGTCGTCCAGCTCCGAGTCTGTACTGCAGGTTTGCGGTGTGTCCTTGTCATGCTTCACTGGCTGGCCCGAGGCATGCTGCAGTTGCATGCCCCGTTGTCGCCGATCGGGTGGGTACGGGATGAAGCCCATCTCGTACGCACGTCGCCGACGCTTATGCACTTTGCTCGCAGAGCGGGCGCCTCTCCGACGAGGAGCAGTCGGAGCCGTAGAAGAGGCCGACGGCGAAGAAGAAAACGTCGCAGAAGCAGCGAGGAGCGAGCCGCCAGCACCGTGCATTGTGTAGTTCAGCACCGCGAACGCGATGAACGTGGCCACGGCGCCCGGAAGCCTCATGGCGCCATGGAGCTCCGCGCGCGCGGAGATGACCGCCCCCTCGCGACAAGGAGGAACGCTCGCGGGCGCGAGGTGCGGCTGCGAGCTGCCCAGCTCAAGAAACTTGAGCCAAAATGGCAACGGAAGGAGGAGGAGGAGGAGGAGGAGGAGGAGGAGGAGGAGGAGGAGGGGAAGGAAGAGGAGCAGGACGAGGAGGAGGAGGGAGGAGGAGGGAGGAGAGGAGGAGGAGGAGGGGGGGAGGAGAAGGAGGAGGGGAGGAGGAGGAGGGGGAGGAGGAGGAGGACGTCTTTTTCTTCACCCCCTGCTGGTGCCCCCCCCAGCTGGCGCCAGCCAGGCCCCTCACATTCGACCTCGACGGTGCCTTCATCTCGCCCTCTCCCACGCCCCCCCCCCCCCCCCCTGCACCGCAGCGCTGTGCTGCTGATCTGCCCTCCTCCAGCAGACGCTGCTGCTGCTGCTTCTGCTGCTGCTGTTCCTCCTCCTCTTGCTCCCCGCTGCCCCTCCTCCTCATCATCCTGAAGGTGAAGGGGGGAGGATGAGGACCAAGCGCACGACCGCAACGAGACCAGGTCGACTTGGCGGACGCGGTGATCACACTGCAGAAGATGGGGCTGCGCCAGGACCAACGCAGCAGAGAAAACAAACATATGTTATGCCAATTCTTCTTGCTGGCGAAGGTGAACCCGGTGAGCCAGGCTGGCCTGCAGGCGGGGGGCGACGTACAACTGGGAGGTTCAGCAGCGGGGACGAGGTCATGGGCTTGAAGCTCCGTTACCACACGTGGCGGCGGCGGTAGTGGACGCGCTGGAGGCGGTGAGCCAGGACGGAGCCAAGGAGGTGCTGGGGAAGTACAAAGAGCTGATCAACAGCCCAGCGGGCAGAACAGCAGTGAAAGAGCTGTTCGGATGCTTCAGGGTGAAAGAGGCGTACAGCGATGACGGGACGGACGACCAGGACATCAAGGTGAAGATCACGTACCAGATCAACCCAGCTGCAGATCTAGAGAAGATGGCCAGAACTACCGAGCGGATAATGGACTCCATGCCGACGCCACAATCGCTGCGGAGGGCGATGTACGCAACCTTCCTGGAGCAGGGGGCAGAAGAAGGAGACGGGCCAGCCCCGCAGGACGAGCTCGCGAGGGTGGCTGAGCGCCAGCTGGAAACATTGCAGCAGAGGTACTAGGTGTAACAAAAGAGCGACAGCAGTTGGCGCCTCCTGTGCGGCAATGGACAGTAGAGTACGACAATCCAGCAGTGATGATGAATATTAGGCGGATGGCAGCGGCAGGAAGCGAGTATGCCAGACAGATGTTATCAGGGGCGGAGAGGATGCATGAGCAGCGTCAGGGGGAAGCTGCGCCTAGATAGGTAGGTCCCACCCCATTGCAGTGTGAGTGGACAGTGGTCCCCCGCGCTGCAGCGGCCCTCGTTCGCTGTGGAGTGACTGCAACAAGGAGGCGCCGTAGGCCAGGCCCAGCCGTGCTTGTCAGGCCTTGCTGGGGCTAGCTTCCATATCATCGCAGAGGGCAGCGAATCCCACGAAGAGGGGCATAGATGCAGCAGCTCAGTGGCTATCGGATTGGGACGCCCTCCCAGCGCACTCACTCGCTCACTCACTCCTCTTCTTCGTATGGTTAGTATTAATTTTATTATGCCTCCTCCTCCTCCTCGCCTCCTCCTCCTCCTCCTCTTCTTCCTCCTCCTCCTCCTCCTCCTCATCCTCCTCCTGCTCCTCCTCCTCCTCCTCCTCCCCCTTTCGTCCCTCTTTCTTCCTCTCCTCTCCTCCCCTCCCTCCCTCCCCCCCCCGTCTTGTTCTCTCGTGACCTTCTTCTCGAATTGTTCCACCTCTTCTTTCTCCTCCTCCGCCCTTTTCACTCCTTCCGCCTCCCTCCTCCCTGACCCCCAACATCCTAATCCTCGCCTCCTTATACTCCTGGCCGTCGACACAACCACAACGTTAACGTCATTATGATATTCGCCGCCATCGCCGTCGCCGTCGTCGTCGTCGTCGTCCTCATCATCATCATCATCATCATCATCATCATCATCATCATCATCATCATCATCAGAATCATCATCATCAGCAGCATCATCATCATCCTCATCATGCTCATCATCCTCATCCTCATCCTCATCATCATCATCACCACCACCACCATCATCATCATCGTCATCATCATCAGTATCAGCATCAGCATCATCAGCAGCATCATCATCAGCATCATCACCACCACCATCAGCAGAAACAGCATCAGCATCAGCAGCATCATCAGCATCATCATGAACATCAGCATCATCACCAGCAGCAGCATCATCAGCATCCTCATCCTCATCCTCATCCTCATCCTCATCATCGTCATCATCAGCAGCATGATGATGATGATCATCATCAGCATCAGCATCAGCATCTTCAGCAGCAGCAGCGGCATCAGCTGCATTTTCAGCTTCATCTTCAGCTTCATAAGACAATCACCATCCAACTAGCGATCACCAGCATCATCATGATCGTCGTCGTGGTCGTTTACGCGGCCACCTTCACCATAACCATCATCACCACCACCATTATGATCATAAGAGGCATCATCACCACCACCGCCCTCGCAGTCAGCACCATCGCCATCATCGTCATCATCGCCGCCCTCGTCACGACTGTCACCCGCACCCTCCTCATTCTGATCCCCACAATCGCCATCACCACCATCTTCTCTGTCACCCTTGCCATCGCCACCCTCACTGCCCGACCTGCAGCAGGCTGTATTGGCTCTTCTTGTCGAAGCCGAGCTGGCCCGGCAGTCTGAAGCCCGGCGAGCCCTGGCTTGCCAAAAGCCAGGGAGCGGCGCCGCTAGTAGGGGAGGGAAGGAGAAGACGGAAGATCAGGGAGGAGGGGGGGAAGAGGGAGCAGGGAGGACAAGGGAAGCAAGGAGGGAGGGAGGAGAGAAGGGAGGGAGGAGGGAGGAGGGAGGAAGAGGGAGGAGAGGAGAAGGAGGGAGGAGGGAGGGATGGGGAAGGGAGACGAAACGAAGCATAAATGGACGGGGCGCCCGAGCCCCCGCCCCCAGCGCGAGTCAGAACAGCGCCAAGAGGACGCCGACGGGAGGACCAGAAGGAGGACGTCGAGAAACGCGGGCCAGGAGGAGGAGGAGGAGGAAAAGAAGCAGAAGCAAGAGGAGGAGGAGGAGGAGGAGGAGGACAGAGGAGGAGAGAGAGGAGAAGGAGGAGGAGGACGACGACGAGGAGGACCAGTGTAAACCCAAGAGTCATCAAGGATGTTGCAATAAACCCTCCCTCCAAGCTCCCTCTACACAGGCCCCAACAACGGTTCATTTCCGTTGAGGGAAGTGCCTCGTTGGAAAACAACTGTTTGAAGAACCTGAAGCATGCCAAAACATTGTCCTCGGGACTCCAACGCCACGGATCAACCTGACTGTTGCGTCTTGACGATCCTGAATCGCGACAGAACGTCATTCTTGGGACTTCAACACTGCGAACCAACGTAATTGCTGCACCCCCAAAACCCTGAACCCTTCCAAAACACCATTTCGGGTACGTTGATCATGGGAGCCCGTTGAACTCTTGCAAGTGTTATAAACAAATGTGCGCGGCGCCAGGGCGAGAACCACATTTTGAAAAGGAACCGCCTTCAATCCTTGAAACTCTTGCAATGTCTACAACGAATGTGCGGGGCGCGAACGCTAGAGCCAGATTCTGAAAGCGGGACGCCCTTATTACATTAAGCCCTGGTGAAAATGTATAACACCAATGTGCGCGGCGCTGAGGCGAGAAACACATTTTGAAGACGGGCCGCCCTCAATCCGTGAAACTCTGGCAAAAATGTAAAAACGAATGACTACCACGACTACCGTTACTACGGCCACTACCACGACTACTCCTGTTAGTAGTGCTGCTGCTGCAGCTGCTGCTGCTGCTGCTGCTGCCCCTCCTCCTGCTCCTCCTCCTCCTCCTCCTCCTCCTCCTCCTCCTCCTCCCACTCTCCAATTGGAGGATGAGAAAAAAGAGTCTGCAACAGGGGGGCTGCAATGGGGGCTGAGTGGCCCATGTATGCCCAATAGATCGTTCATGTATATGATGGGGTATGGTTGACATCCACTGTTGGCGGTCATGGAGGGCCAATCGTTCGTGCCAGCGCGTTGCCCGCGCGGGCAAACTGATCGTTCATCCATTATCGTTCATGCGTGCAAGCGTTCTTGTATATCGCGCGTGAGGGCGGCGAAGTGGAGTGCAAGTGTATCTTGATTGTGCGATTCATGATCGCGAATGTTCCCAAACGATGATTTGTCGACCCCTAAGACAGACTGGAACGGGCCCCGCGATTCTTCCAAACTGTGAATTCACATTTTCCTTCTTCTCAAAATGTGAATTTACATTTTCCTTTTGAGAATTCATTGTCTAGCCCATTTCAAAATGCTTCCTATACAAAAAGCGAAAAGATTCACATATTCCTTTTTTCCCCAAAATGTGAATTCACACTTTCCTTTCTCCCAAAATGTGAATACACATCTTGTCTTCCTCCGCAATGTGAATTCACATTTTGCCCTGGCCCTCAAGATCCCCAGTACTGAGGCGCAGTGTTCCGCATGTCAGATTGGCTGGTGATTTTGACACTCACCCCGCCGCCTTCGTGTATTCCAACCTTCTCTTCTTGCGCCCGCAGCGCACGTTGCGTCCGTCGCCTCTTCCCAGCCCCCCGCCTCCTTGCGTGTTCACCCTCAAGTCTCGCGCAGGGGTGCCGGCAGAGGCTTCAAGTGGTTCCCCCGCCGAGCACAGCAATCGAGGCTGCATCGCCCACGCATGGCCCTTAGAGCCACCATTGCCGGGACCCTGCGCCCGATCCTCACATTCACTCTTCCAAGCATCGGCCCCCCGTACCTCCCAACGGGCGCGGTCAGAACTCTGGAGAAGATCCGGACACGGCCATGAGAGCACCCCAGGAGGCCCAGAAATCGCGAAAAGCGTCAACATTTTCAACCATCCCACCTCGATCGACGTCAACAAAGGACGGCCCAGACGACGACGAAGACGACGACGACGACGACGACGACGGCGACGACGGCGGCGACGACGACGACGGCGGTGACGACAAAACGCCTGCAGATCCACGCACTCCACCGAAGAGGAGGCCGAGGCCATGCGCTGCCGCCTCCGACCCGGCGGCGCGACGGGAGGATGTGAAAGGGGAAGGGTAAGGAGGATGAGGAGGAAATGGGATGAGAAAGAAGAAAGAGCCGAGGAGGAGAAGTGAGAGAAGGATGGAAGGAGGAAGACAAGGAAGTGTGGAGGAGGAAGACGAGGCAAGGATGGGGAGGAAGGAGGGCGAGGAAACGGGAGAAGGAATTAGGGATTGCAAAGCTGGTGAAGCATCAAACCTGTCAGCGAATAGTGGCACCGCAAGTAGTTAATGGCGGCTCGCGAAAAGAATTTCATTCGCACGAGCACTGACGCCTGGACAGCTCGAACAGTGGATGGAGGAAACAAAGGGGAAGGACAGAAACATTGGGAGAACGGAAGACACGCAGTTCTGATGGCTGGGACAAGGAGCATGCAGGCATTCGTCGTTCGCACCCCCCCCCCCACATACCTCCCCCCCTCCTCTACGGCAATGTAAGTAGCAGCGCAATCCTGGAAGAGAGAAGCAGCCTGGGCCGTGAGGCTATCAAGTGGGCAGGAGTGCACCATAAAAACAAGCTAACGGGTCACAAAACGCAGCTTGCACCACGCAGCTCGCAGCAGCATCCATCGCACAACGCAGCTGGCACAACATGAATTACAGCCGACAAAATGCACAACATGATGCACCACATAGATTCGCCCTTCAAGAAAACGACTGGCTCCACCACCGCCCCTCCAGTTTATCGGCACGCCTTGTGCTAAATCTGACGTCCGCCACCGCCCATCTGAAGTTCAACCATCCCAAGCGGCCCGTTCTCGTCTCCAATCTACCATCCGTTTCAAAAGTTGCTGGCGTGGACCCCAAACAAAGAGGCTTTAGCCATATACGTTGTGCAATCTACGTGGCGCAACTAATTTGGGTAAACTTGGAATTGTCAACGCAAGTGTGCTTGCAACCGTTCCACCCACCCACCCACAACTGCATTTACAAAACCCATGCGGCGGCGATTGCGATGAGTGTTGGGTGTTGGCTGGTGCATCGTTGCGGCCGCGCTAGCCCGCGCATGCTCACGCTCACAACGGCCAGCTAGTTGGGAACGACCGACACGGCAGCGGTGGCGCTGACCGCTGGGCACTTCCCAGTGGGCACTCCAATGCGAATCGGTGATTTGGGCGGGCGCGGTATCATGGCGACGTCGGCAAGGCTAGACGCGATGATGGTCGTAGCGGTGCAGTTGACGATGATGACGATGACGACGGCAAAGCCATTGACGGCGACAATGGTGACCACGCCAATAACGATGAACACGTCCTCGCGCCGTTAATGCAGGTTTCGAACAAAAAAACTTCGACATGCGCGCGCGGCCGACGCGCGCGAACGGCCCGCATGGTGTTATTTGACAAGGGCTGCGCCCCCCCCCAGCATGCGCGCAAGGGCGTTCGAATGATGTCGACATGCGGCGCGAGTAGACAGCGTAGTCCGATTATATATATATATATACACACACGCATATGCACAAATGTACACACATATATATATATATATATACATGCATGCATGCATACATACATGCATACATATGTGTATGCACGTAGAAAAACACGACGGTGTTGTTAAAACCGCAACGGCGCGCGCAGGTTCGTTTTGAAAATTGATGTTGCGAAACCACGTATCATGTATATGTGTTTGGGGCGCTCAATGTCGCAATTCCTACGCAAACCCAGATGCATGACGGATTGCGGCATGCGCGCGCGACGACGCACGAGTGCGCATGTCACTCCTTTTGTTGGAAGGGATTATTGAGACGGCACGCATTCGGTAGCATCTGATGAATATGGCACGTGTACAAAAATATGCGCAACGGCGCGAACGACTGTGTCGCTCTTTTGTGTACAACGTGAATGGGAAACGTCGTGTTGCGAAACCGTCGTTCTCCATGTTTGCGGGACACTTGTTTTTGACATCCTTACAACACCGAGCGTTGTTTTGCACGATTCAGGCATGCGCGCGCGACCACGCGCGCATGTGCAAGTCTTCCGGCCGTTTGCCTATGGTTATTGAAAGCCGCTGCTTTTTGATCAGCAAGCGCGCGATTGCGCGTGCGTAATAGGTGTTGTGGACGATGGTGGGGCGATAAAGGACGGCTTGGGATGAAGATCGTATTCAAATCGTTTCAAGAAAAGGCGTACCACTAAGTCCGGAATGGGGTAGATCCTGATATATTGCAAGGGAAGAACATTAACTTCTGTTCGCCGTGAGTGCGGCCAGCTAATCTGGCGCGACCGACGCGGCCGACGTGGCGCTGACCGCCGGGGACTTCCAAGCGCGTGTCGCAAGCCGCGCCGACGCGCGAGCACTTCACTGCCAGTCGGTGATTCGGGCGGGCGCGGCAGCATGGCGACGTCAACAACGGCGGGCACGATGATGAGAATACCGATGTTGATGACAATAATGACCATCACGAATGTGTGGCCAATGACGGCGACGATGTTGATCACGCCGATGGCGATGATGGTGCCCACGTGACAGCGATAAAAATAAGTTAAGCGCGCGGTCGACGAGCGCGAGTGACCCGCATGGTATGATTCGACCGGGGTCGCCAGCAATCGCGCAAGGGCAGTCGCATGATTTCATCATGCACGCGCGAGGGGCCCGCTCGGTCGCGTGTGGTGAAAATATTGACACCGATGGTTTTCGCATGAATTCGCAAGAATTTGCGCGCAGACTTGTTCGAACAAGCACGTTGCAACACAAGTTGTTGTTTTAGTTTATGGGAAGGTCGGGTTTGGAACCCGAACTTAAAACAATACATATGTTTGAATTATTTCGGCATGCGCGCGGCGACGTGGACTTTGCCTGACCTGTTACGAGGGCTGTTGGAAACGACGATGTGTGATAAACGGGTGCGCGCGCATCGAATCATTGGACGTGAATGTGGGGGGGGGTCCATAAGGGCACCCCCTGGGATGGCATAGACTCCTCTTTCAGACGAAAGATGGACCAGAATCGTGTGAACCTTGTACTGGCCCAAAGGGAACCGCGAAGTCGCGGGGGTGCTAGATCCTGATTACTTTCTGAAAAAAGGAATAACAAATGCTCACTGGTAAACTGTGGACCCTGCTGCTCTCGCACTCACCCCACCCACCCACCCGCAACTTGGTTTGCAACACCAATGCGGCGGCGATTGCGATGACTGCTTGGCGCTGGCTGGCGCATCGCTACAGCCGCGCAAGTGCGCGGGCAAGCTCGCGCGCAGAGCGGCCAGCTAGTCTGGCGCGACCGACGCGGCCGCGGTGGCGCTGACCACTGGGGGTTCCCAAGCGGGTCTCGCAAGTCGCGCTGACGCGCGGACACTTCACTGCGAGTCGGTGATTCAGGTGGGCGTGGTATCATGGCGATGCCCCAAGGCCCAAAGCGACCGGTTCTCGTCCCCACCCTATCATCCGTTTCGAATGTTAGCTGGCGTGGGCCCCAAACACTGTGTTTCTAGCCATAAACGTGGTGCAAATCTACGTGGCGCAACTTACTTCGGAAAGCTGGGAATTGTCAATGCAACTGTGCTTGCAACCGTTCCATCCACCCACCCACAACTGAATCTGCAAAACCCATGCGTCGGCGATTGCGATGAGTGTTGGGTGTTGGCCGGTGCATCGCTGCAGCCGCGCTAACCCGCGCATGATGACGATGACGACGGCAGCAGGCCAAGCCGTTGCTGATCACGCCGATGGCGATGGTGGTGTCATCGTGTCGGAAATGAAGGTTTGGAACGATGTCGACATGCGCGCGCGGCCGACAGGGGTGAGGGGGCATCACTGGAACCAGTGGGCTTAGATGAGTTCATATGAACGATCGGGAATAATTCGTTGTAATCGTAGTAGCACACGGAACGGCGATAAAAACAGGGGCATCCGACTTTCTTTTTGAAGAAGGAGAACCATGTGGTGCACTCTACGTGGTGTCATTTGTTGTTAGAACTTCAAGTTCTCAACTCCACTGCTCAAGCCATCATCCCACCCACCCACCCACCACTTCGTTTGCAACACCCAGGCAGCGGCGACGGCGCTGACTGCATGGCGCTAGCTGGCGCATCGCTGCGGCCGCGCAAGTGCGCGGGCAAGCTCGCGCGCAGAGCGGCCAGCTAGTCTGGGGCGATCGACGCGGCCGATGCGGCCGTCGCCGCTCCGCTGGGGGGTTCCAAGCGGGTCTCGCAGGTCACGCTGACTCGCGAGCACTTCACTGCGAGTCGGTGACTCGGGTGGGCGCGGTATCATGACGATGCCCCAAGGCCCAAAGCGACGCCACTCTTCCTTGGGCGCCGAGGCGTGCATGTCAAACCGTGCTAATAGCCGGTGCCCCTCTCTGTACGGAGGCGCAAACGGACCCTTGAGTGGTCTGTTCACCGTCGCCCACCCTATTTCCAGACGGGGACCCCTCCAGTCCGCGCCAGGGGGAAGGTCATCCTGTTCCATATTCGGCGCCTCCCACTTTGCGAGGAAAGCCTGCTGGACACGTGCGGCCCAGGGGGCCTGGACGACCCGTCGTCCGAATCGTTGCGATCTTTCCCTCTTCCTCCCTCTCTCTTTCTCTCTTGTTTGTTGTGTTTCTCTCCCTCTCTCTCCCTCTCTCTCTCTCTCTTTCTCTCTTTCCTCCCCTCTCTTCAGCTCCCCCCCTCAATACCACTATCCTTCGGATTTCCCCACCCCCTCGCACGGCCTCTTGCTCGGCTCTGGCGTGTGCGACCAAGAGGTTCTTCTGAACCAGCTGTCGCTCATGGAGGCCTGTCTCAACTGGCCAGGGCTCTCGGGCTTGGCGCTGGAGTCGTCCTCGCTCTTGCCCACGACCTTGGTCGCAACAACACGCAGGAGTGCAAGAGCCAGAAGGCAACAAATGACCGAGCCCAGAATTTGTTATCGAAACATGTTGGCGTCTCACGTGGGCTCCTGCTCCTGATCCTCCTCGTCCACGCGAAGGTCATTGACCCACGCGGCTGCGGAGAAGGCCAGCCACTGCGCACGGAGGGGGCGAGGAGAGGAGACGAACTGCGCTTCACCTGCGTGAACACGCGCTTTACATACAGTGGAGGCTAGTCCACAAGAAACCCTCCACAAGAAATCCAACCCTGAGACTCCAGGACGTCCATTGATTATTGGCGTGAGAACGCCGCGTTCTCCACCGCAAAACCATCGAAACCGAAGAAACCCAGGGCACCCTGGAGGCAAGCAGGGTGTTTCTTGGCATGTGCCTTCACTGCACGATGTCTTGCGCCGACCTGCCGCTGGCATCCCCAGGGGTCCGACGACCCGCTCGAACGGGAGCCTCCCCAGGGGTCCGACAACCCGCACCCATGTACCCATAGCCAGTCCTTCTCCCTCCGACCTCCCTCGGGCGTTGGCAGAACTGGGTTTAGTGGGACCTGGTTTAGTGATCTGTACCGGGGGCGCCCCCCCGTCCCACTTCCACTAACCAGAACTGCCGTCAACCGAAAAACACAGGCTACGGCAACCCTGGTTTAGCGACTCTGGCCAATTGAGGGGCTCCGGGGCCCTACCACTCACCGGGTCCCCTTACCTGGGGTCCTGGCCATACCCGAGTGACGATGCCTTCCACCGACCTTCCGCTGGCATCCACCATCGCAACCGCCGCCGCCGCTCTGCGCCCGCCGGCCTTCCGCCGTTAAGCGCGAGAGGCGCGCCGCAGGCGAGTCCCTGCGCTGCGCGCCGGGCAGCGGCCACGCCCAGCTGCGCGCCTGGCCCTCCAGCGCAGCCAGGCGAAGAACAACAGCAACAAAGACAGGAGGCAGATGGGGAGGGGCACGAGGGCGAGGGCGACGACGAGGGAGGCGATGCAGAGCACGGGGCCGAGAAAAGACGAGGAGCGAGGACGACGATGAAGGGCACGAGGGCGGGGATGAGAAGGAGACACCAGGGGCACCCCAGGCTTGCCGTCGCGCGGACGTCCATTCCCTGTGTTTTTGTTCGGTTTCGTGCGTGGCTCTCTCGCCGAATGATCAAGGATGCTCCTCGATGGTCCTCGCCGAAGAAAAAGTGCACACGTCCGAGCGATGCCAGGCAGGCGAAAGCGCGCGTCCTTGCCAGCCGGGCCTGCCGGCCGGTGCAGCCGGTGCGGCAAGAGCGGCCTGCGCGCTCGGACCTGCCCCCCCCCCAGCGGGGGGGGCACGGCCGCGCAAGCTGGCGTCTCCGGCAGAGGAGCGGCGACCTTGGCCGCCCCCGATACGCAACACAACACGCAGCCCGTGGCGCGTTGTCACGGAGCTCGACGGGTGGCATTGAAAACGTACGTGTGGCGCAAGGCGCTCGCCGAAACGTGGGCCGACACGTGGAGCCAAAACGGAACGTGTGGGCACAGACGTTTGGAGCACGCACGTCTTGCGTATCAAAACGGGCGTGTCAAGGCAGCTAAGGCGACGAAAGTACGCGAGATGGCATGGCGACCTTACGCGGTGGCTTACGCAGGCCGCTGGCGGCGCCAACGCGCCGCCTTACGCGGAGGGCTTACGCGCCAATGTCGGCGCAGGCGGCCCCGTTTTCTTCCGTCGCTCAGTTCGCGCTGGCCCGCCGCCCCCGACTGCGTTTGCCCATGGGCCCATCGGGGTGGCGGTCCTCGCGGTGGGGCGGTCACGGCCCCGAGGAGCCTTTCACCACATGAGTGATGGGTCCATTTTCCACAACCACTACCATATGTAGGAGAGGGAGGAGGAGGAGGAGGAGGAGGAGGAGGAGGAGGAGGAGGAGGAGGAGGAGGAGGAGGAGGAGGAGGAGGAGGAGGAGCCTCCCTAAGAAATCCTCCCTTCTCCCCCGTCCTACCTATGGTAGTGGTGGTGGGGGAAAACCTGCCCATCGATTTTTTGTTTTCTGCGGCGTGCGGCGGTGGCCGCCGCGGGCGGCGCGCCCCACGCGAGGCGCCTGCCCGCGGAAAAATACCCGGCACGCCGCGCCGCGCGCCGTTCTGCCCAGGCCACGGACAGCAGGGAGGTCAGAGCGCGCGACGCCAGTGTGCGGCCTCACTTGACGTCAAAGCCCTCGGCTCTCAGACACTGCTTGTGCGCCTCGATGAAGCCCTTGCACTTCTCCTCTCCATGCTTCGCGATGCACTCGTCGCGGGACGCCTTTGTGTCTGGACACGCGCAGCACATCTTCATGGTCGGCTTCTTCTTCGGCTGGACGATGGGCGTCGCCAGCGCCGCCGGGGCCTCCTTGGCGCCTGAGGCGCCCATCGCCGCCGGGCCCGCTACGGAGCCAGTGCTGGGCCTGTGCCCCCTTGAGCCAAAATGGCTACGGAAAAAAAACCTGCCCATCGATGAGCACTCCAATGAGCGGTCTCTGCCCCCGCCAACTCGACAGCCGCGCACCGAGGGCCACCCTGGCGAGGGGTCGCACTCACGTGTTGCCGACGATCGAGGAGACGGGGGCACGCCTCCTCCTCTTCCTCCTCCCGCTCCTCCTCCTGCTCCTCCCCCTCCTCCTCCTGCTGATCCTCCTCATCCTGCTCCACTCCTCCGCCTCCAGACGCGTTGAGGCCGCGACCCAATGCTGCCAATTGGTCGGCAGGGAGCGGAAGCCAAAGCTGACGAAGGAGGCCAGCAACATGCCGCAGAAGATGATGTACACCAGGCCCACAAGCAGCCGAGTCGAACCAGCCTCGGAGGGGCTCTGTCCTCTCCTCTAACCGTCTTACCTCTAAATAACTCCTGATCGTCGCACCACCAGACGCATCGGAAGGGCGGGCCGGGCGTTTAGCCTGAGCTTTCCTCACAACTTATGATTCTGAAACTTGGAACTTTCAACATTTACACGGGTGGAAGGCGGCACGCTTTTGAAATTCGGCCCTCGACTCAGCGCCGCGAACATTCGTCTTCAAATGTTTGTCCAAGGGAAGGTGGCATGTTTCAAAGCCAAGCTCTCGCCTCAGCGCAGCGCACATTCGTTTTCAACGCTTCCAACAGCTACACCGATGGAAGCCGGAACTTTTCAAATAGGGATATCGATTCAGAGCCGCGCGCATTCGAAATTACGTCCTTTCGTTTACAACGATGGAGGGCGATTCCTTTTCGAAATGGGGGGCCTGGCAAACAATCGCGTATGTGGAGAGTTCTCGCCTGAGCGGAAAGCCCCTAGGTGCAAGAAGAAATAGTTGCAGAGGCTTGTTAAGGATAGAAGTTCATACTTTCAACCACCGGCGTGTAAGCGCGAGCGCACTTCTTGAACAGCTTGCGAACATGTCCCAGGCGTGAGCGCGATCCGCGAATAGGCTGAGAAAAAAACACGCGACTGCGCGATTCTTCTGTAAACCAAACGGGGTGTCGATCGAAAGCGTAGCTCCTCAATACATCGCAAAGAAGCCTCAAGCCGACCCGTTGTTGTTGAGGCACGGCGGCCCAGCAACACTGTTTGGCATGGATGACTGGATGACTGTTCCTACCAAACCACTGGGTGAAAGAGCCGAAGGGAGTTCTGCAGTTGAGAATAGCAAGTGGGCACCGCGCAGGAATGGTAGGGCAACAATTTAGCAATCTCCAGAGAGGACTTCAACTAGCTGCTTGGACCTTCATCTGTTTATCCCTCTCCCTTGCATCAGTCCTCAACGTCTATGAACGTACCCCCTTTGGGGAAGGGAGTCGTTCTAATTCATACCAGTAGGTGCGTCTACCCTGGCAGGGGAAGAGAGGGCACGAGGAGGAAGAGTCTGGACACGACCATGGAAACAAGAGGCAGGGGGGACGGAACAGGGAAGAGCGAAAGGGGAAGGGAGCAACAGATCGGCCAGCTACGAAGACAACGATTCACTTTTTTGTTGGGGGGGACCCAAAGGGCTCAGGAGGCTCCAGGGGGCCCCAGTTGAAGGCGGTCGACTCCTTGGTCGAGCAGTCCGAGGACACCGTGGCGAGGGGGGGGGGGGGGGCCCACTGTCCGTGAGGAGCGTCTGCCTGTCGAACGACAGGCAGGGCACGAGACAGCCGCGTTCCCCCACGCGGAGCCCCCCCCCCCCCGCCAACTGTCGGAGCCCAGGCGCGGGAGTCGCACCAGGTCTCTGGAGGGAAGAAGGCACTATCGAACGCCCAAACCATCCGAAGAGAAAAGTCCAGGGCCCCACCCCAGTCATCAAGAGATGCTCAGACAGGGTTCAAGGGGGGGCCTCGAAAAGCAAACGCACCCGTCTCTCAACACGCCAGGCTTCAGCAACAGACCTGTGCCTGCGCGCCGTGGCCCGCATGCGGGCATGTATCTGCTGAGACACACTGCCAGAAGAGACAAGGTGACGACGACAGTTGTGAGCAAACATAAATGCGTCAATTATAGCAGCCGAAAGGAGCAGCACCGTGCGAGGACGCAGGGACGTGGGGAGCAGAGCAGACAGCCAAGGAGGGGATTCCGAGAATGGAGGCATCAGTTCTCCGAGCCAATGTTCACATATCCAAAAGAATCTGGAGCATCTCGCATAATGGGCAATATCATCGAGGTCAGAGAGGGTAGGGTCGAAGGAATCTGAACAGCATCCAAACAGGCAACCGTGCGACTGAGTGTGAAATCTGGCCGACGTGTTCAAACCTCGGGCAAGCACGCGGAGAAACGTCAGGCCCATGTAGGGCCCAGTCTTCTTGACAACAAACTTCACAGCTTTCGAAACTTGAATCGCGGCGTCCTCGGGAACCTCATTCAACCACCTCCTCATCCTGATCATCAAGTCCTGCTTCGCATCATGTGCAAATTCAGGCGATGCAGCAATCATGCGGTAGACGGCTGCCTGGAAGCTCTTGCCCTCGTCAGGTATCCCCGAAGGCGAGCGGGACAAGGAACCACGAACACTTCTGAATGTCGCAAGCAGGGCAGGAGCGAAGCTAACACTGGCCCAACCAGACATAGTTCTGACAATACAGGCATCATCGGAAGCAAACGTCTTTTCCAGATCCGCAAGAATCCAAAGAATCTCCGAGCCCTTCGAGACCAGTCGGAACTTCGTAGCCCGAGAAACCGCCTCCAGGTTTTTAAACTGACCAGAGAACCCCAGGGAGGTCATATTCGTCAGCATCTCGTAGTTGAAACTAAAACGCGGCCCCACCACTAAGAGCTGCAAGGCATTCTTATACGCTGCAATCACCGACCTAGAGAGAGGTGCGAACTGCATGACAAAGGATAGTATGCTAAGACATAACGTGCTGAAAGTCGGGATGTGATTCGCAAGAGTTAGACCAGCCTGACGCACCTCTCTCACCCGCGGAGCAAACTTCGCCACCGGTTTCGACCAGTAGCATTCGTGGGCAGATACACCAATCATCATGCCGAGGTACTTACACGAGCGCACAACCTGAATCTGAGAGAGCTCAGGGCACTGCTCTAGGATATACTGCTGCAGCCTAGTCTGGAACACAGCCGATTGGACCAGCACAAGGCACTTGCGCAGGTTCAACGGCAGCCCCACTGCCGACTCCAAAGCCATGATAACACGGAAGAGGTGCCGCAGGTGTCGAAGGGTGTCGCGGATGCCATACAAACAATCATCAGCATATTCAAGCTTGAGGTGCATACACTGCCAGCAGCATTTACTTATATATACCTGAAGCGGAGCCGTGCCCAGGCAGAAGAGAACCATAGATGCGGGATCCCCTTGCCGCACACCTCTAGATATATCAATCGACGCGCACACTTTGCCCAGAACCGAGATCAGAGCAGTGTTGTCGGTGTAGAACAAACGATAAAACTGGACGATAAAGCTCGGGATCCCCATCGCCTCCAAAACAGCCAGGAACCATTCAATCGAGAGAGAGGGGAAGGCGGCAGAGTAGTCCGTCAGGACCATCGAGCTATCATCTTGGCCGAGCACATGTTCTGACAGTGCCCAAGCTTCAGCACGGACAATATGCGCAGCCATGCTGCGACCATAGACACAAGCTTGCGAAAGAGAAATAGTCTGCTGAGCAACTTCATTCAGCGGTCTGCACATGCACGAACTCAGTATCTTGGCATCAGTGTTGGCCATGGAAAGTGGACGTGTGTTTTCCGCAGTCCTAAAGACACTAGGCCCCACATCGTCTCTCGAGCCCCCCTTCGGCAGAAAAAAACCATCAGAACTTCCAACATGTCCCGAGGTAGAGCAGAGACCTGACCAGAAACAAAGTCCCGATATAAGTCAAACAGAAATCGAGGGGCATCTCCAAGGCGCCAGCAGAAATAAGGAATCCCATCAGGCCCAGGCATACTGTGCTTACGAGTCTTAATAATGTCCCCGAAGAACACCTCATAGTCCACTTCCCAAGACATATTCGCTCCTACAGGCACCTGTCGGACAAAAGACAGCAACTCGGGCCATTGAGAGCGGTCTTCCTGCTGCCCGCAGAAGACTTCACCCCAGTGAAGCCGCAGGGCCTCAGCAGAGGCCTCTGGGGAGGGGTAAGGGTTGTTATTTTCGTCAACCACTCCTTGGAGCCAAGTTCGACGACGAAACTGCTGCCAGAACGTACGACGACGAGCGATCTTCCTTTCCTCCTTCTGCCTCTGAAAGTCATCCAAGGGCAGGTCCTCCATCTCTAAGGTTTCAGCATCAAGCATCTTCATGTACAGCTCACGTACATGTTGGCAGAGGGGGAAAAGGTCAGCACATTCAAGAGTAGCGTCATCAGTAAAATCAGTAAGCTTGGGATAACAAGCCAATGCATTATCAATCATCTTAATATTCTGGAGACGGATGCCACGAAGAGCAGCCATGGACCAATGATGACACTCCTCATAGGTGCAGGCGACTCGATGCCTAATGCGTCGTCGAGCACGTGCTGCAGCCGAGTGCATACATTCTTTGGTCCAAGCAAGACGCACAGCGCCCCCATCATCAGCAGGAGGAGTACTCAAGAGCCTATCCAGCTCATCAGCAAACTCGGGCGACTTCGCAAGCCACAGCGGGATATTCTTGCACTCAGACTTGTCAGGGGTGTACATCGAGATATGCGAAACGACGGGGGTATGATCCGAGGGCATGTCGATTTTAAGACGGCCTACCGTAGACGTCGTGATCGTCATATCTGCAAGAATGGCACTGGGCAGCGAGCAGTAGATGCGGTCTAGCCGCGCCGCGTGGTCAATCACACTATCAACCAGAGCCCTCCGTGTGTCCATTTCCTGGTAAAACTCAATGAGGTCAGGGAGGTTGTTGTTGAACGCCTGCGCATGACTACGGTTCCCTGGGCTCCAGAAACCACCATAAGTATTTTGACGGCCCTCACCTTCCAGAGTAAAATTCCAACCCCCCAGTAGAATAGTAAAGTGCTCAGCTGACAGCGGAACCTCACGGCGGAGAACGCGAAGCACAGATATATATATATATATATATATATATATATATATATCCGAATACTATCAGACGTGTTGGGCATGTGAACGTTGACAATGTTACACTGGCCGTGAGGGCCCCTCATCTCAGTCAGAAGCACTCTGCCGTCGATCAGCGACCGATGGACAATCGAGGAAAAGTTACGCGCGAACACTTTACTGATAGCCGTAATCACGCCACCAGCGCCTGCACTGTCAGGGAAGAACGAGTAGCCAAATTGGTGAGAGGGAAGTTGGAGAGAGAGATGATCAATATCACCAGGGTGACCATGGGTCTCTTGGGTAACAACAATATCATGGGAGTGACAAAGACGTTCGAACATGGACATCTTCTTCTGAGCACGATCTTGACGCAAAGACTGCATAGACATGAACATACCACCAGCGCTCCAAGAACAGATGGAGAAGGGGGAGGGAGGACAGAACGGAAAGTTAAAATCATGGGCCGACGACTCGCACGGTGCTGGCTGCATTGTACAAACAGAGGCTGCAGACACAAGATTCGAAAAGACGGCAGGCATGGCAGGCTCACTACACTCAGCTGAATCGCGTGCATCCCCACTGATGTCGCTCCCTATGTTCAGCAGGGGCGAAACCTGATATGTCCTGGCCGTGGGTGTCCGCCATACCCCATCCTACAGGTACGGTTTGTTCTTAACAGCAATGTCAATGATGAAATCAATCTCCGCGTCGGTGAACTTCCATTGATACAACTCTTCACGGTATGGAACGATGACGAATTGGCCCTCATCTGTCTTCAACGTGAACAGGGTCCACGAGTCCGCATCCGTCGAAGTCTGGAAACGACCAGAGCCATAGCCAGAGCAGTCCATCCTCAGCGCGCCGTTCCAGAGGCCCTTGGACGTCAGCTTCACCCTCATCGGCTCCCACAGGCACGAAAGCGTACTCTTCCTCATCCGAGCAGGAAGGGGAATGTCGCCTCGAACACGAATGGGGAACGTCTTTGCTCTATCACGATAGTCACTCCATTGCGATGGCGACGTGAAGGCCCACTGCTTGAAACGATTTGCAGCCTCCTCCGTCTCGAAGACCACCGAATACGAACGGCTCGTTCGCTGGAACGATGGCTGGGCATTTGTAACCATGTCCTGGGGCACCTGAGTCTTGTACCACTCCCAGTGCTCCTTCCGATATTGTGACAGCGCCTCACGCGGCCATCCTCCAATCCATATCCTGCAAGGGTTATGCATATCCTTCTCATTGTTTTGAAGCGTATCAGTGAACATATCAGGCATGGGTCCAGCTGCGGGGCGCTTACGTCTGAATGTGCCCCCACTGTCCGAACTCGCAGCTGTAGACGGTGTGCGTGAAATCGCCGAAATTATTGGTAACTGCTCTTGAATGTTCTCAAACTTTGCTTCCATCTTTTTCTCAACTTCAGCTAGCGCCTTGTGTCCTGCCGAACCCTCAGGGCAGTCATGCCAGCCCTTGCCATCATCATCAACCTCAATCGCCGAGCCCGTGATCTGCTGGAAGCGTGCCTCCCAGCTGGCCGACATGGATGTCACCATCGTTTACATCTCCTGCACCGACGATACTTGCTGCGCTTGAAGTCCCTGGATCTGCAGTTCTAAAGCGTCTGTCCTGGCGTTAGCCGCTCCTATCGCCGTGAGCAACTCACTCTTCATCGAACCAAGTGCGGCCAGGACCTCTGAGCTCGACATCACGGCCGAGAGAGAAACAACAGCAATTCGTAGGATGATCCCTGGAGTCAGAACGAAGAAAAATGTGAGGACTACCCTCGGGACGCTCGGGCCAACCTCTTGGCTTGAGCCAAAATGGCTTGAGCCAAAATGGCTACGGAACGAAGACAACGATTCACTCAGCGATAGACTCGGTCAAACGCAAATAAGCGAGCATCCAAGCTACCAGGTGGAAGGAATGAACAGCTTTCGAATCGCCGTCAGTCTGCTGACAAAAAACTGGCTCGAAACCAGGAACAACCAACGCGGGAGAGCATGCTTCCAGGCGCCGATCGGCCGGGAAATGGCTCAAGGAGGGGTACGAGGCGTTCGATGGAATAATCAAGAATTCAGGACGGCGGGGGCCGCCTGGTCCGTGAATAGTCCCATCGACCACATGGCAACAGTGGAGGCGATGCGTCCCGCAGCCGCCGCGGCCATCTTGACACCGCTAATGACAACAGCTCTCGCGCACAAGAGTGTGCGGAACCGCCAACCATTGACGTCTTCTCTCCACTGCTGAATCGCTCGGCTCGCCTACCCGAGGAGGGTCATCTCGATGCCTCCCTCGGGGCCCCCTGGTCCGGGGTTCTGCGGACAAGTCCCGCAGGTACTGCGGCATCACGCCCCGAAGGTTACTGCGGCGTCCACGACCCGTGAAGCTTCAGGATCACGGCCGCCGGGCGCGCCTCCTCGCAGGCGTTGCGCGCCCTTCTCTCCCGACGGGAGAGCATCATGCTGGCGTGGGCCAGGGGGACTTCCGTCAGCACGTGGCGCCCTCAGGACACCGCCGCGCTTCCGCACACAGCTTCTATGCTGGGTCGGCGCGCGGCGCGCGGAGCGGGTGAAGTGGGAGATCACGGGAGGAGACTGGAGTGGCTTCATGCACGTATGAATGTCTGGATTTCCTCGTATGCATTCTCCCTCTCCTCCTCCTCCTCCTCCTCCTCCTCCTCCTCCTCCTCCTCCTCCTCCTCCTTCTCCTCCTCCTCCGTGGTTAGCACGGTGCAGCGTGCCTCCCGCCCTGTCTCGTCCCCCTCCTCTCCTGAGCGCGAACCTGCGCACGAGCAATGTCTTGATGCAGATGAAGAGGCGGCGGCATACCTCTTCAGCTAGCGGTGGCAGCACGTTGCACCACCCTCTCCCTCGTGAGTTGTTCTCGTGGGCGAATAGCTCCTTGGGGGCCGCCGCAGGCAGCATAAATGTCTGAACAATATGTCAAACTTAGACTCTCCCGAACGGGCCATGGCGCGGCCCCGTGGCAGCATCTTTTCGGCCCAGCTGTCAGCTGGTCCCTGAGCGAATAGCTCCAGCTTTGCTATGCGTTGAATCGTTGCACGGACGCACGGAGTGAATGTGGCACAGCTTTCGTGAAGTGACCAGTTACCGAGGCCTGCTTCTGCAGCTCCTGGCGCTGATGCGAGGGTAGCGCTCGCCCCAGGTCTGCGTAGTGGATCCGAGTAAGGGACGGTGACGGTCCTGCGACAGCTCGCCATACCTGTACCTCATCCGTTCCAGTGGCACTGGGCTCCCTCGTCGATTAAAAAAAGCTCATGTTCCTCCTCCTCCACGTCATCATCATTCCATTATCATAATGATCATCGTCCTCATCATCACCACCAGCATCATCATCATCATCACCATCATCATCATCCGACTCATCAACCCTCTACGAGCACGGCAACCTGGAATGACGCGTACTCGTCCAGCACATTGTACCTCTTGATCTCGCTGGCGTCGTAGCAGATCATAAGCGTCGTCGCGCAACAAATCAGAGCACGCAGCACGGAATCAACCGTGTCGACCTGCGTGCAGCGTCCAAGGATCCGTAGTGCCACTCTTCCACTGCCTGTTCATCCACTGTCCGTCCCCTGTCTTCCCTCCTCCTACCCCTACCAATTCCTCCATACTCCTCATGCTTCTGGCAGCTGCCCCCCTGCTGCATGGTCAGCAGCAGCAGCAGCACCACCAGCTGCACCAGCAGCACCATCACCATAAACATCATCGTCACCATCATCATCATCATCAGCAGCAGCATCAGCATCATCATCATCATCATCATCATCATCATCATCATCATCATCATCATCATCATCATCATCATCATCATCGTCATCGTCATCGTCATCATCATCATCATCATCATCATCATCATCATCATCATCATCCTCATCATCATCAGCAGCAACATCAGCAGCATCGTCGCCATCATCGTCACCAATCAGCATCATCAACATTACCAGCATCATCATCATCGTCATCGTCGGCATCATTATCACCACCACCATCACCACCATCAGTATCATCATCATCATCATTATCATCATCATCATCATCATCATCATCATCATCCTCATCATCATCCTCATCCTCATCACCACCAGCAGCATCAGCATGATCATATTCAGCATCGTCATCGTCATCATCAGCATCATCATCACCATCGTCATCAGTATCCTCATCATTATCGTCCTCGTCATCATCGTCGTCGTTATCCACATCATCGTCATCTTAATCTTCATCGTCGTCGGAGGCGTCGTCGTCGACGGCGGCGTCGTGTGATCGTTGTTGCCAGTGTCACCAATGCGTGGCAAAACCCATATCATCACCATAACTCACATCAGAATCACAATCACCGTCGTCAGAATCACGTCAGAATCACGTGGCGACTGTCATCATCGGCAACAGCATGGTCATCAGCATCGTGATCGAGACGCCTACCATCAGCGTCATTATTATAATCATTGTCGCGAATCATTATCAGCAGCAGGGCATCATCACCATCGCCATCATCGTCGTCAACATCAGCAGCATCCTCAACGTCCTCCTCATCCTCTCCCCTTCATCGGCCAAGGGCCCTCCCCCGGTCCCTCTCCCCTCCCCTTCCAAACCACCCCGCCCCGATGCCTAAACTTCCCCCATCCCACATCTCTGCGCCCCGACACATACCGTCACACTGTGTGCATCTGGCCCCCCTCCCCTTCCCGCGCACCCCTGTCGGCGTACCCGCCGTTCCCCGCCCCTCGCGAACGGGAAGCGCGGTGAGGGCACTGGATAAGGAACAACAGGATAAGGAACTCAAGGTCTGGAAGCCAGCGGAACACAAACTTCAAGCGTGGCCTTGGACATCGCCGCCGCCCTCATCAGACAAGGAATCCTGCAAGGTCTGAAGCGTCCTGGACGCGTTCCTGATCGGGTGTTGCTAGAAATGCCCCTGCCTCATGAGGCCCCCAGGATGTCCAAGGAAGCCACAACGGCCTCCATGGCACCCCTCACGAGGCCCAGAAGGCCCAGGCACTCCAGGATCGAGCGGAAAACGTGGGGCACGTTGGGTCATGGGCACCTTTCGCAAGCCCCGACCTCAACGAACGCGCCCAGCGTATCCACGGCCTCGCGTCCTAGACGCCTCGGCCCCGATCCCACGGATACAAAACGGCTCTCCGCGGACACCCCGCGCGGAACGCACCCATTGGATCGCGCGCGCACGGGGGATGGCGCCCCGGCATCCAGCGCGCGAGTGTATGGACAGGGATATGTTCGTCTCACTCGTGGCCCCCTCTAAGACGAAACCAAGACGAGGATCACATCTGGCGAGGATGTATTGAGAATCTCTGAAAACCGGCGGCCCGACCCTCTCAGCGCGTTCTGGAACGCCCTGAGAGCGTTCCTCAACACTCTGGGACGGATCTATCCTCGTCCCAACCCCGTCCGACCCTCACCCCGTTGCGGATCTGCACGAGGACTGGGAAGTTTAAAAGACGCACGCGGCCGGTCTCGCACATGGAACACGTGGCAGGCTCGAAATTAGCCTGGTGACTCAATCACATGCAGCTGCGAGCATCGCGAAGCAAATGAAAGAGAGGAGGGGGCCTGGCAAGAGGACCCGGGCGTGGGTGGCGAGAAAAACGTGCATGGGCGAGCGGATGGC